CACTCTGGTCCTTGTAGAAAATGTCAGAGTAACGAAGTTGCCTGTCAAGAGTTCTCATGCTCCAAGGATACTCAGGGAAATCACGTTTAAGGAAGTCCATGGCCTCGATCTTTGAAGTCCTTGTTGCCCAAGCTTGACCATCGATTCTTTTAACTTTTCATCTTCTTTACAAGCAGCTGAAGAGTACACCATATTGTTATGGTGGGCACCAATAAACATGCGCATTGGGTTTATGGGAGTAATTTAGCTGGGAGGCCTGAGTACTGGTGGCAGCGTTTGGCCGCTCTACGAATTTGAATTCACTTTCAACTTAGATTTTCTCATGGCCGAGCGCTGGCACTAGCTTTGTTTCACATTCTCTTTATACGTTGAATTCAACTGCAATCCACTTTAACTCCAACTTTGATTCTGCAGTGCATTCTCTTTTTACAATGTATTCAATTTTTAGTCCGGATGGTGTTTTACTTTGATTTGCATCTGTATTTGATTTTCAGTTTTACTTCATTTTAACTCACACTCTCTTATCATGATTTGTTCGGTTTTAATTGACTTTAATGTAAAGTTAGATTCTGTATGGCATTCTCTTTTAAAATATACTTAATTCTGATTTCATGTAATTTGAATCGAGTTTTTTGTTTTATATTAAATTGCGTTGATATTTGATTTTCATTAGATGCACATTATGTTTTGCATTTTTAGTCGCTTAAAAAGGAATTAATAAGAATTAATAGAGGGTGCACACATCAAAATTTCATGCTCAGTGTCCCACAATTCATCCAATACCTCAAAGGCAGGGGACAGTGTAAACAGTCGCAATTGCAAACTTTCAAAAATCTATTCAAGAGAAATTACATTGTTGCCAGAGAGCAAAAGTATGATGAACATGGTGGTCATTTCAATCATCACCGAAAATAGACTGCATGCAACAAAAAGCAAATTGATGCCTGTGAAAAATTCATTGACACAAGAAGGTCGTGATGAAGAAGTAAACGAGAATGATACAATCAGTGATGACACGGTGGTGGACATGGACCTAAGTTCAGTCACTCCAAGGGAAGATGAAGAAAGTGAAAGTACTACAGACCAAGATAGCTTGAGGCAAGGAATATGAAAGACAAAGGTGCACAGTCTTCATCAAGCAGTCCAAACAGACAAAAGAAAGACACAGGAGCAAGCAGAGCAGTATTAATTTGAAATCATCGAAGCTGTGGGAGAAAGCTTAAAAACTATGTGCGCTAGTATACAGAAACAACAACAAACTGGAAAGAAGCACCAGAATAAAGATGATTTGTTTGGTGTTTTTGTTGCCTCGCAGTTGAAATGTATGATTCCTACACCAAAAGCAAGGACAAAATATCACATTAATAACATGGTATTTCAAGCAATAATGGTAGATGAGGGATCATATGCATCTGTCCAACAGCATCCTCCTTTTATGCCGCATTTTAGTGGTGGATACCTAATAGGTTAACTTAACTGAGCAAGTGTTCAAACCGCTCAGGAGAAATCCTTATAAATTTGAAGTACCCTTCTCGATCCCAAGGCGAAGTTCGTGACCAATAGTATGATAACATCCGTATTTTTTCCTTACCATGAATATTGGTCTTACCCAGAAGCACCTTTGATTTTTCCTGTTTTCTCTTAAGAGATGTCATGTTGAAGAAGCAAAAGAATTAATACACAGTGTATTCTGATAATGGAATGGCGAAAAAACTCCTAATTAAATGTACTCGATGCAAGAAAAACCATCATTACTGCAACTAATGCGTACGTTTGTATGGCAGCCATGTTTAAAGCATCACACTCAAAAACACTTTAATTTCCTCGGATAGTATGTGTTTTTGTTCCTACTAGATCATAACTTTATGATTAAATTTATGTTTATGATTATGATTACGATCATTATGTCAACAATGGGAACCAAGCCTAACCACAGGAACCAGGATTTACACTTGATACCACTTACGACCAGCTTTCCTTCTGCTTGGATATGCTTTTCTTGGCCAATTGATAAGCTAACTTATGCTGACAACACCAAGTCTCAAAAAGTTATCAGCTAACATGTGGACACTGCTTTCACAAGGGAGCCGTCAAATTTGCAGATGTAAAAGTAGAGATGCTTAAACACTAACCAACAACAAACAGTAACAAAGGCAGGATATAACAAAAGCATTCACGATAAAAATTTCTTTGGGAAAGATACTTCAGCATCATATTGACCTTATCACCAACATAGCTTTTTTTATAGATATCGTTAACTTTGTCACAAGGCAAGTTCACTTGTCAAGTATCACAACTACATCACATACTTTACTGGATAGGTCAATTGTAGTCTCACTGAAAAAAAAAATGAAGTGCAGAATTTTAATGTTGTTAATCACGAGTTCATCACGTCACGTGATCCGTCAGTAAAAGTAAAGAGTTATTCTAGACAAACAAGTTACCGCAACAAAAGAGCAAGTGATTCAGTTATCATGTAGACCGCTACTACTAGATCGGATTACGTTATCTTCGAGGGACATTTAAAAACGGTTCTCGACGGTCTCTAAAGTGTCTTATAAAGTGTGTGTCTTACGGTCAGCGATACGCTCCAACCACATGGCGTTTTCACTTCCAACTTTCCCATCCTTCGATGTTCATGCAAACAGCAATGCGGGGCCACGACTGCAAAAATGGCTTGCACGAGTAGAGCGAATGTTAATTGGAATGAACATCACAGCTCCTAAACGGAAAAGAGCGTTATTACTTCATTATGCAGGTCCAGAGGTTGACAAGATATTTGATACCCTGCCAAATACTGGTGATGACAGTGATTATGCCACAGCAGTCAAGAAGCTGAATGAATACTTCTCGCCACAGACGAATATAGCTTATGAAGTGTACAATTTTCATCAAACCAAGCAAACAGACGGAGAATCGTTGGATGGCTATCACACATGACTTCGTTAACTAGCCAAAACCTGTGAGTTCAGAAACATTGACAAAGAGATAAAAGAGCATACTATCTTAACCTGCAGTTCTAATTCACTACGACACCAAGCACTACATAAAAATCTTCCCCTTTATTCCCCTTTAAAGCTGGGAAGAGCCTTGGAACTTACCAAAGAGCAAGCAAGCTAAGTAGAAAAGGCGGCAGCACACATAAATGCCACAGAAACCAATCGACCTGGTCACTCAAGTCAGCGAAACAAACACTCCTTGCAGCCACGTTTCAGAAGATCTCAGTCACGCCATCGTCAAAACTCAAACAAGCGAAAGAGCAAGCCCAGAAAATGAGGTAATTTCGGTGGATATGCTCCTCACATGAATCAATGTCCAACCCAAGGAAAATCTTGTACCGCCTGCGGGAAAATTTGACATTTTGCTCATGTTTGTAGTACAAACCCTTCCGCGAAAAATGGAGAGTGGCTTCCGGAGATAACTACAAGTACGCTTACACAATTTACATCAAAAGCAAGAAGCCACCATGTGCCAGGTAGAAGTAAATGGAAAAGCTGTAGAGATGATCGACACAGGTGTATCTGTTAACCTTTTAGATGAAGCAACATTTCATGGAATTGACTGTGGTAACAAACTCTCAGAGCACGCTCACAGCAAGATTTATTCTTATGGATCTGATACTCCCCTGCCACTGCTAGGAACACTTTCAACAACTATCAAGTCCAATAGTAATAGTACTACCACCCAGTTACATATTGTGAAGGGAAACACAGGAAACCTCCTCCACTACAACACTGCACAGAAGCTTGGATTGATTACAATATCTGTTAACACTACCACTGTCACAGATGTGAACAAGAACAGCCCAGAGTCTCTACAAGAGAAATTTGAATATTTATTTGGAGGCATAGGAAGACTACGGAACAAAATGGTTAAGTTACATGTTGACCCTGACATCACACCCAGACTACTGCCACACCACAGGATTCCCTTTCACGTGTGTGGTGACGTTGAAACGGAGCTTGAAAGGTTACAGAGATTGGATATCATTGAAAGAGTTGAGGGCCCCACACCCTGGATTAGCCCTATTGTTGTCGTACCCAAGAAACCCGGAGAAGTGCGGATCTGTGTTGACATGCCGGAGGCAAATAAAGCAGTCAAGAGGGAAAAACACCTCATGCCAACTATAGATGACCTCATAGCTGATTTGTATAGTGCAACTCATTTTAGCACGCTGGATCTTTCTTCAAGATACCACCAACTCAAACTAGCACCAGAAAGCCGTTTTGTCACAATGTTCAGTACCCATGTTGGACTGAGACGCTATAAGCGCTTACCATTTGGAATCAATGCAGCATCTGAAATCTTCCAAGAGTCGCTCAAAGAACTCCTCACAGGCCTACCTGGATGTAAGAACATTTCAGATGACATCATAGTGTTTGGAAAGGGGAAAGATGAGCATGACAAGAACCTTAATGGTGTTCTCCAGAGACTTAAAGACAACAACCTTCGCCTCAGCAAGGACAAATGCAAGTTCTCTAAGAGTGAGTGGCCGTATTTTTAGATCCAGTGGTGTCAAGCCCGACCCCAAGAAAGTTGAGTAATACACGATGCAAGCCCACCACAGAACGCCAGTGATATCAAGTCCCTCCTAGGCATGACACAGAACGTATCCCGTTTCATTCCCAATTATACCACAATCACAACCCAATTGTGCCTTCTCATGCGACAAGACATGCCCTGGAAGTGGGAGCAGGAACAACAGAAAGTTTTAGAAGAACTGAAAGATGCTCTAGTTGGAGACCAAGTCATGTCCGACTTCGACCCAAGTAAACAGAACCACATCGTCGTTGATGCTAGTCCTGTTGGTCTCAGCTGGTTGTTGACACAGGAAGGTGAAGTTATTAGCTATGCAAGTCGGGCGCTTAGTGATGTTGATAGTTGCTACTCTCAAACAGAGAGCAAGCAAGCTTCAGCACGGATTGAAAGGTGGAAACTTCGCCTCATGCCCTATGACTGCAAGCTAATCTACCAACCCGGAAAAGATGCAGAGAATCCCGCTGATTTCTTGAGCCGACATCCTTGTTCTTCAGACTCAGAGTTACAGAACTTGGCTGAAGATTACGTCAATATTACGTAGCATGACTACTGTACGAAAAGCAATGACAGTTGAAGACATCCAGCACACTACCAAAGTAGATGCAGAGATGCAGGCTCTTATTAAAGCAATAGAAACTGATCGGTGGACCAGCCCTGAAGTCCAGGATTATAGAAGATTGAAAGATGACTTCTCAGTGTACAATGGAGTAGTGTTGAGAATGAACAGGATTCTCATACCACCCACCCTCAGAAGCAGAGCAGAATTGGCACATTTAGGTCACCAAGGAATTGCTAAGACCAAGCAACTTATCAGAGACAAAGTGTGGTTCCCAGGAATAGACAAGCTGACAGAAGACAAAGTAAAAAACTGTCTCTTGTGCCAAGCAGCGACAGCGAAATCACCACCCCCAGAACCTCCTTGAATGACCACACTTCCCAGTGCACCTTGGAAAGAAGTTGCAGTTGATTTCCCAGGACCATTCCCAAGTGGAGATTAAATAATGGAGGTTGAGGATGAATTCAACCGTTTTCCTGAGGTAGAACTACTTACTTCAACATCTCCCAAAGCTGTGGTTCCAAAACTGGACACTATATTTTCAAGACAAGGCGTACCAGATATTTTGAAGAGTGACAATGGACTCCCCTTCAATGAGCATGCAGTCAAAAACTTTGCCGACTATCTAGGATTTAAGCACAGAAGAATCACACCACTCTGGCCAAAAGCAATTGGTGAAGCTGAACATCTAGTTTAAACTCTTGAGAAAAACATCAGGATTGCCCGCATGGAAGGCAAGAATTGGAAACAAGAGTTATACAAGTTTTTGCGCAAGTGCCGTGCAACTCCCCATTCCACAACACGTTTCACCTTGTGAAGCTCTGAACAGCTGAGTCAAGAGTCAACCAACGCATTTGCTCCTAGGACTCTTCTTAACTACTCTTAATCGACTGCTTATGAAGAGCTACTTAAAACTGTACATATCAAAAGCTTGGAACATCGACGCATAGAACAATCTCTGATACTCATATACAATAGCATTTATAACCAGGCACCCAACTACATTTGGGGAAATGTTTTTACTGCGAAGCAATGGTTACAGCCTACGGGGCCATCGTACCGACCTCATCTTATATGCAACATTCTTTCACGTACCAGGCTGGCAAACAATGGAACAATCTACCAGACAAAATAAGGATGTCAGAGTCCCTCTCTATCTTAAGGAAAAACTTACAAAACATACAGTTGTCTTCATCGCATGACTGCAACTGTGTATTTTATAAATAGACAATCTTGATTACCAATATTTTCTCTTTTTAAATTATTCTTATTTTTTAGTTGATTTAATTTTTCTATTTCTTATTTTTATTTATCACTTGTACATGTAGATTATGTAAATTTTGACGTAATTTTTATGGCACATTTGCATTTAAATGAGCTATTGCTCATATGCGATATGTGGTTAAATAAAATTACTTACTTACTTACTTACTGAAAACTCAAGACTTGGCTACCTGAAACACCAACCACCCACTACAAGAAGCAACAGTCCATATTTCAAGATCCAATAGCTGGCCTCACACAGACAGATACTTTGCAAAAACAGAAGATGAAGATCTATGCTGATCAAAAGGGAAATGCTCAAGAGAGAAAGATCACATCGGGAGAGGTTGTACTCATGAAACAACATAAACAGAACAAACTTAGCACACCATACAATCCTAAGTCCTTTGTTGTAAAGGAGATGAAAGGTTTAATGATCACAGCAATCAATTGACCAGACACTGTTACAAGAAATTCGTCACACTTTAAAGTTGTCCCCAAACAGCTACTGCAAGACTACAGTGGAAAGAACAATGGTGTAGAGAATCCCACATCTGTCGGAAAGGAAAGCATTCCCTTGAGGCGATTGCAAAGGCAGATTAAAGCCCCTGTCAGATTTAAGGATTATGTACATGTGATTTCTGCCAATTAGACTTCCGTTCAGAAGTTTTGAATTGTTCATGTTTTGTTTTCTTATTCCCAAGTGACATTTAAAGGACTGATCTTTCGGACACGATTTTCAGGCAACACTGTTGTTGTTTTTTATGAATTGATAATGTTGATTAGCCGGAAACATATTTGCAAAGACTTTTGATGTGAGTTGCTTTTAGGTACTTTGTTTACTCGTCATCCCAAGAAGAGGAGGGATGTAATGTTGTTAATCACGAGTTCATCACGTCACGTGATCTGTCAGTAAAAGTACGGAGTTATTCGAGACAAACAAACATGGCATTGTTTTCTTGTTCACTTGGTCAATAGTACAAGAATTACAGGCAAATGAGGAAGTGAATTGGACGATGTTCTGAGAGTTCCAATTTATTGACTGCTTTAACACAGTGCCATAGAGTCTAGTATGGGAATGACCTTTCGGATTCATGGCAATATAAAGCCACAAGTCATTAGCATGAAACAAGGAGTCAAGGTTGTCATGACAGCAAAGTTCTAGACAAACCAAAAAGGTGTCTGCAGCGTGATCTATTCTTATTGTTAACTTAACCTTTAAATGGTTATTATCAGGCATTTTATACTCTAAAGATATCATAACTCAAGATAACCTTTGACCCAAATAATTTGGACCTGAGCAAGCAGACAAAAGTACGTGGAGAGGATAAGTTAGGGCAGAGAAAACGAAAGCTGACAGTTAGCATGGTGCAGTGTTTGCATCCTGAATGCAACCATCAGTCTGAGAGCCACTGTTGCCGGTTTTTTGCCTTCCCAAGCAAGGTGAAGAAGAAAGCTCTATTTGATAAGTGGAAATTACTGATGAGGTAAGGGTAGGTTTGAGCTCAAAAGAAAATGATATTTCGCGAACCATAGCCTCACACTTTTAGTTCAACAGCACATCTGCCACCTAAACAAGGCGAACTATAGCTCATCGAGTTTTCACCTGTGTTCGAAACTAATTTATGAATTTTTATATTGACAACAACAACCAAAACTATGTTATTCAATCGATTCAGAAGCCTAGAAAGTTAAGAAAAGCTATCCTTTCATCAATTTTCTTTCTATAATGTCCAAAACTGTAATGCTGTTCACTTGTTTTTGTTTCTGTCGCTCATGTGTTTTAAGTCCCAGAAAAGCAACATTAAAAGAAAACAAAAACCACTAAAGAGATCTAATACAGTCAAAATGACGAGAAGTGCTTCTTAGAAAGAAGGACATGAACAGGAGCTACTGGTAATGATTATAAACTAGAACAGAGATTGTTTTAGTTGCTTGAAGGCAATAGGGAGCTTCCAAGTAAGCACTGTCATAGACATGACTAGTCTTAAGGGCGTACTGTCCATATTTGCTCTCCAAGCACAAGTCCTTAACTTTGACAGCTTCCAAAATGGTCTCATTTCGGTGAGTATAAGGGCATTTGCATTCAAGGACAGAATCATCGCCTACTAGTCCATCTGGAGATGCCCCTAGAACACTAGTTTCGGGTAGCCATACTCCAGCCTTAACAGGTACTACGCCAGTCAATGCAGTGAAAGCTTTTATTGCCATTTCTTCATTGTTAACACCCCATGCAATGGTATGGAATCCACTTAGATCGTATTCTCCAAGCAGACGCTTTGTAAGGACTTGAGTAACTCTTTTGGCCTTCAGTACTGCTCCAAAATTGCTTGCAGTTAGCCTGCCTTTGCATCCTAAATGCCTTGTTGAATTTTGCGTTGTCCAGTTGGGAGAGCACTGGCTTCTCTCATTATGTCCTGTCGGACCCTTACATTTTTCATTAAGAACACTAGTCGTCCCACAGAAGTTTGGTCACCCGTGAAACCTTCACAATAAATTATTTCTTCAATTATATTAAGAGGTAGCTGCACAGCAGGCTCTGGCTCTGGACTCAGAAGTCAGCAAACTCCAGTAAACTTCCCACATTCTCGCATGAGAGTACAGCCAGACCTGGTCATTTCTTGGTTCTCGGTGTTGAAAAAGACATTGTTATTGAACCGTTCATTTATGCACTGATGTTAATTTATTCTGATCTCATAATGTGTTATGGCAGATACGTCATCACCTCGATCTAGTTACTTGATAAACTTAAGTTTAGCTGGTTGGTGTAATCTCATATAGAAATTCACAGGGAACTTCTTTGTCAGCCCTTTGCAGCTCTTCTCTAACTCATGAATTATTCAGTTGAAAAAATCATTGTAGTCTTCAACAAGTTGCAGCAGTGAATTGTGAGTCAGCAACACTGGTGATCTACCAGTGAAAAATGCAGCAGCAATTTTAAACAACTGTTGAAGGTTAGCACCGTTGATGTACTGCCTACAGTAGTCACTTTGTGATACTTACCTTAAGAACAAGTGAAGTAGGCTACACAACAACAAAAACCATAAAAAGTTAAATTCGCCATACAATCATGTGATAATATAATTGAGATTTATATAACTGAGACTCTTTTACAGTCATAACATTTAGTATTAATACTCCTGACAGGTGTTACGGGTTCTATTAAGAACACTGGGGGGATATTAATTATTACACCAGTTTAATGTAGGTGTTACATGTTTTAATAATAATAATTTTTTGAAACTTTTGAAACTTCACTTTAATATTTCCTTCTGTTCCATGTAACAAACCCCTTGTTGGAGTTTATATACAACTTTGCAGCAAATCATCTTTGTTAAGCGGAGAAACAACTTTAGAGCGAAATGAATGGACACCATAGGATGCACTTATCTGTTTCCTATCCACTGAACAAAGCTTAACACCTAAAACGATTCTGAGAAAACAGGGGAAAGGCCACCACAGTGAAGCTTTTGACAAGATGCCTGGTTCCGCAGGGTCCACAATAATGCCAAGATAAAAGCACAGACCTTGAAAATAGAAACTGGAACTGGTTGACAAAAAGGCTGTTCCTCTGCTCTAGCGAAGACATACAAGTCTCTAGTAAGGCCGTTCCAGTGTGGTGCACTTACCTAGTCAAGTTGTGCTGGAAAAAGTTCAAAGAAGAGTCTCCAAATGGCCTTTGGCCAAAAAAGGGGCAAAATGGAGTGCAAAAAACAAAACGCCATTTTTAAATGGTGACCACTGGAGAAATGAGGATTATATTTCTCTCTCACAGAGTGCTATAAATCTGTATTTTCGTTAAATAAGCTCAAATCCTGAGACTTCTACATATTAGGTTCAAATAGAACAAGGAGTGACTACAATTACAAGTTAAAATTCAACCCATCTTCTCGTAACTCTTACAAATATTCTCCATGGAGTTCACATCTTAAAAAAGCCCTTTAGCTCAGTACAACAGCATGTCACAAACATAAGAGACATAAGACCGCCCCCTGATAAGTTAAATAAATGAGGCATTATTTACTGCACACGATGAGAACAATACCCTGACAACTACATTGTGAGAACACCAATCTGGGAAACTTCTGCTGTCAGGCAACAGGTCATAACATCAACCCACACAACTGACCAAAAATCCAACCATCCTGCACTCCATCAAAGAGGCCATTGCTAAATTTGCTATTCTTTTTGTTACAGTGTATCTTAACTTTTTTAGTTAATTTGTACATTACAGATAATTATACCCTATCATAAGTTGTTAAGAAGGAAAAACTTCAGAAACAGCACTGCAAGTTGGCTCCAAAAGAGACATGATTCTTCCAAAAAGGATACGTCATCAGTTCCCATTGTTTTTCATTAATTTTTTTTTCTTTGCATCCTCAACTTGTCGTTCTTCTGGGACAACATCCACGCTAAGCCTGTTTTGTACTTATCACCAAAACATACACTTGTTGTGTGATTGCTTGTGTAAAAGCATAACTCCCTTTTCCATGTATTGAAGTCAATTTGTTTACTTCTTGGTGTGTAGCATTGATTCTGAGATTTGTTTCCTAGTGTAAAAACTACCCTCATTGGCTGGAGCCTATCTCGAGAAAATGTGAGTATGAGGGCAACCTGACATCATTAGGAGAGGGTCATGCAGAAGATCAGTGACAAAGAGGTGAGTTAAGGTGTTACAAAAGGCTAAAACCTCAAAATGTACCTTAACTCTTTTTTGCGATAATTTGAAAGTAGAGACATAAATTAAAAATCTACAAACGATAGCGATCTGTAATGCGTTGGTTTCTGAGAAATGGAACTTCAAATCTCAATGATAGAGTCACCATTTTGAGATGCCATATCGACTTCACACACGCACACATGTGCAGAATAGACAATAATATTTTGATTTGGGCCACTACACATTACTTCTGCGACACAGAAGAGAAAGACACAGCCAGCCGTATCAATGGCTTACCATTCTCGCCACAGCACAGAACAATTAACTATAGTTGCCTTGTAAAACCAACTAAGCATAAAGAAGGCTCCCAAGACTGTGAAACTAATTCAAAAGTTGTACCAAGGGAGGAACTACGTGCTCCAGTCCAAAGACTCACATTACCCTAGAAAAACAAGCCAGAGTTTAAAAATCATTGCTTTAAGAGCAATCATGACTAAGTCACATCACAATTCTCCATAGTTGATGTAGCTTCACTTTAAGGTGCAATCTATTCTTCGAGATTTAAATCTGTGAATCACTATCCATGGGACAAACATTGAAGGAAACTGTCACATTCACAGACAAAAAGAAAATCGCTTATAATCATTCAGATCCAGGAGGCACTTTGGAGAAAATTAAGGAGGCTAAAACCCTTATTTAGCCACAATGAAGAGCTTTTCATTTCAGAAGAGGTCAAAGAAAATGCTCTTGCATCAAAGGGCAAATTATGCTGACAAGAAACAAAAACCACAGAAAATCAATATGCGTGTCAGACCTCTCAGCATAAAATAAGGGGCAAAAATCATATTTCCTCAGTCAAAACTTTTTCCTACAGAATATAATCTACCCGCCAGAGAAAAAAATTCATTGGAACAAGCAGCATTTTGGCACAGGGTTAAAGTCATGTGTTGCCTACTGACCCACTTTTTCCACTGGCCAGAACAGAAAACCAAATATTGAGACACATGTATTAAACAGCTGTTTTGGAAAACATATATTGACCATGTGTTTGCCCTATAGAACACATGCCTAGACAAAATACAGAGCTTTGTGGAAAAAAACAAATAACTTTCACTCTACTATACAATTCACGGCTGAGATGTCAGAAACAGCTATCACTTTCTTGGACACAAAAGTGTACAAAGGGGTAAGATTCAACGAGGAGTACATCCCAGACATGCAATCACATTACAAACAACAGAAACCTTCCAGTACATGAACTTCTACTCGTGTCACTCACCGGGCACGAAGAAAGGTTTCGTTAGGGTATCATCCACTGTCAAGCACCCTCCGTGCGTTGATCAGCACTAGCGCTTTTGCTTTTAATAAATACCCCCATAAACGGTACATTTTCTGAATGCTTAATTGTTCTGTCACGCGTTTCCCTTCTCATGTCACGTTTTCCTTCTTATGTAACATAGGTTAGATGTGCTTCGTCATAGGATCACGTGAGAGCTAGCTTGTTTTGATTTCTTGCATTTTGTCACATTGTGCTCGCCGGTGAAAACGCTTTCTCGTTTCACCGTGAATTTTTGCTTTCATTAAAACCGATTACACTTCTGAAGAAGGACCTACATCTCATGATTTTCTCCGGAAAATGGATCAAGGTTTGAGGGATCAGAATAGTGAAACGAGAGATTTATCGCCAGCCGATCACAGCGAGCCAGGCAACCTCGTGGATTTAACGCTCAAGCAACCAAGCGAAACTCAAAAACACGGTTCATCCAGCCAGTTGGAAGAGGCTCCTTCAAATTCGCCCGTTACAAAGGTATCCAAGCATGGGAGCTCAAAGGAAGGCCCCGAGAAAGTGGAAATGGGTTTGTTTTCGCTCGAAAACACAGTCGTCGAAGATAACGCCAAGCATTCAGAATCCACGCGAGCAAAACGACTCTCGAAGCCCACCGCGAAGTTGATCGAAAACAGACTGCAGTCTGACTCACTGAAACTTGAAAAAATATGGGAAAGAACTAGTCAAGCGATTTCCAAGCTCAAAGAAACTTCAGATTCTGTGGAAGTCTTACGTAAGGCCGTAGGAGACTTGCGTTCGTCGTTCAGTGATTATGAACTTGCGTGGATTTCATTAATGGATTTTACAGTGCACGCTAGCTTGCCCGAACATCAGGAAGAGAGACAAACAGTCGAAGCAATGATGAGAACTTGGAAGGAACTCGTCCAGGCAGCGATTAACGAAGGGTTGGACCGGAAAAATGACCTCTTACTGGAATTAGGATCCTTTCGGTCTGGGTCACGTGCTTCCAAGTCGTCCGTTTCCTCGAACGCACTACGGGCCCATGCAAAAGGCGAGGCGGCCGCGGCATTAAAAAAGGCCGAAATGCAAAGGAAAATTTCCAAATTTCAAACCAAGTCCGCGCTGGCGTTAGAACAAGAAGAAAGGAAGAGACGAGAAGATGAGTTGGCATTTGCCAGGAGAAAATGCGAGGAAGAAGCACGCTTAGAGTCCCTACGCACAGAACAGGAAGCAGCTGTTGCCGTCGCCCGCGCAAAAGCTATTGACGAGGAACTTGGATTGAACCTTGATTTTCAGACAATAGATTTACCAATCGAAAATTCCGATAAGCGTGTTCAGCAATTCATTGACAGTCAATTTGAAGGTTTAAAACCGTATGAAGATCATCATGACCGTAATCGTGAAGCAAAGAACCTCTCCGCCCGCGGCTTCCCAGTCAAGGAAGAGAAGCCCTGCTTTGCGAAAGAGCTCAATCGGGGAGCACCGCCCTTCAATCCTAACCCTACTGACCGCATGGAAGGTTTCGTTCAGTTTCTCTCCAGAAGGGAGCTCATTGCTAACAAAATAGAGAAATTTGACAGCTCCCCTGAAAACTTCAATACTTGGAAAGCAGCCTTCAAGAACATGATAAGAGAGGTAAACATTTCGCCAAGCGAAGAGCTTGCCCTCATGGCGGAGCATGCTACTGGTGACTCTAAGAGACTCATTCAGAGTTTACGAAATGCATATATAGAGAACCCGACCGAGGGAGTTAAAGAATGTTGGAGGAAGTTAGGAGAACGTTTTGGCTCAACAGCTGTCGTCACCCAAGTACACCTGGACAAGCTAACTGCATTCCCTTCACTAAATGCCAAAGACAACAAAGGTCTGCAAGAACTAGGGGATCTCCTCTTGGAATTGAAATGTGCGAAAGAAGATGGCGGACTTACCGGCCTCAAAATTCTTGACGAGCCAGCCTTTCTGAAACCACTCCTTGTCAAGCTACCTGAAGATCTCCAGGCAAGATGGCAAAGACATGCGTATCGCTACAAACGTCAGCATGAAGTGGAATATCCTCCATTCATTGAGTTCGCATCATTTATCGAAGAAATTACACGGGAACGCAACGACCCCTACCTTATGATTGAGGACCCTGGCAAGAAGAGCTCACACTCAGCTAAGCCTCCTGTTAAGTCTAACACTATCTCCCCGTCGAGACAAGGCCTATCAGCTTACAAAACTGAGGTTTCAGGTCCTCCACACCTTCACTTTTCTGCACGGGATCTAGACAAATGGTGTGTCGTCCACAAACTATCTCACCCCATTGGCAAGTGCCGTGCCTTCAGAGCCATGTCCCTCACCGAAAGGAAGGACTTACTTAGCCAGTACCGAATATGTTTTCGCTGTCTTGCTTCAACTAGCCACCAAGCCAAAGACTGTACAGCAGTAATCAAATGTGCCGAATGCCAAAGTGATAAACATGTTGCAGCATTACACATTGACCCTCCAAGTGAACAAGAAACACAAACCAGAGAGCCCGAAGACGCCCTTCAGCAAGGCGGGGAGCCAGCTAAGGTCACAGCCAACTGTACAGAACTGTGTGGAAATGCAGTTGGGGGAAAATCCTGTTCAAAGATCTGCCCAGCCTA